CTTCGGAGAGCATTGTCAGGCATAAACTTCCACATCTAGACTTGCATTATGAACAACAGGCGTCCTGTTATCCTAATGCGCTGTACAAACATACTGCACATACTCATATATTTCTATATACATACATTCATAAATATCTATATATATATATATATATATATATATATATATATATATATATGTATGTGTGTGTGTGTGTGTGTGTGTGTGGTGTGTGTGTGTGTGTGTGTGTGTGTGTGTGTGTGTGTGTGTGTGTGTGTGTGCCTTTAATATAGCTTACAATAATAATTAATAATAATACCGGTATTCTCTCTCTCTTCTCTCTATCTATCTCTATCTCTATCTCTCTCTTTATCTCTATCGCTTTCTATCTTTTCCTCTCTTATTTCTCTCTCTTCTCTCTCTCTCTATCTAACCATTCATCTCTATGTCTGTCTTTATCTCTGTCTTTATCGCTTTTCATCTGTCTCTCTTCTCTCTTCTCTCTCTTCTCTCTCTTCTCTCTCTCTCTCTCTCTCTCTCTCTCTCTCTCTCTCTCTCTCTCTCTCTCTCTCTCTCTCTCCTCTCTCTTCTCTCTCTCTCTCTCTCCTCTCCTCACTCTCTCTTCCCATACAAAAGCTTTCCTTCCAAATGCAGGTTCGTCCCGACACTTCCTTCCAGCCAGAAAGATAGAGCTCGATTTGTAGCTGCTCCGCCAGCCCTTTTTCCTTTGCTGTCAAGGCTGCACTGTCGCCGTCCTTGCGAACAATCTGTTTCTTAAGGGGTTTGTTTAGATGAGTTTTGGATCGGATGAGGAAATGAAAGGAATATTTTTGAATGATGAATATGTTTACTGATGAAAGGAATATGTTTACTGATGAAAGGAATATGTTTAATGGTTTAGATAGTTTGATAATTGATGAAGGACGCGTTGGGGAAATGACTTTTCCATCGAACACCAGAACAGTGATATTAATGATGGCTTTCGTGGCGAGTATGCTTGCGGCGCTGCCACGGGCATGCCTCGCAACATCACTCGTATCAATATTGAATTTAATCTGATTTGGATCCCGACAATATCCTGACAATATTATGGATGAAATGATGGCGGGAAGCAGTTATGATGAGCCCGCGCTGACGATACTCTTAATGAAATCTCTCATGGAACGGAAATCGAGACTGTTATTCATTCTGGCATTAATCGCGTTCGAACATGTTATTTAATTGCTATACTAATTACATACGGAACCTGGATATCCCATTTAGTATTCTCGTACCAATTACTGAGCATAGCCTCAAAATCAGTACTGTTACAGAGACGTTATTGCCTATCACTATCTGAATCAAATTCGAACGTAGAGCGACATAAAGAATCGTGTCTCCCATAGTCATCCACGAGCCTTCAACACCGCCTGCAAAAGCAAAATAATTCACAGCGGAAAGTGGGGAGCTGGTCGTGCACGCCATCTGCAGCCAGCAAAGTCCATTTCCAAGTCCGTTTAGACGAATTCCCAGACCTTGTCCCGCTGTGGCGAATTGGGCTGGGGAGGAAGGGCGTGAATCGATCAGCTGGTCTAGGGCGGTCGCTCGAGCCTTTAAATTCATTTGCGTCATCCGTGGTTATCGAGACTTCTTTCGCGATTAATGCAAGCACTGAAATGAATACGTGTGTAGATCCATTGTGCGTACACACACACGTAAACACACACCTGTAATACTTATTTTAAAGGTGTGTGTATGTGTATATATTTATGTATATATATACATATACACATATACATTTGCGATATATATATATATAATATACACATATATACATTTGTGTGTGATATATACATATATATATATATATATATATGTATGTATGTATATATATGTATATATATGTATCATATATGTATATATATACATATGTATACTATGTATAGGATATATACTATAAATTAACATATATATGTAACAAGTCGTGTGCTAATCTCACGTTGCAACCGTTGCTTGGACATGTGGTCCCGCCAACAGTACCCCATGATTTAGCACAAGGGCCTATTACAAGAGGCATCAAGATTCCAAGGCACAGGTTTCACTACCTTATAGTAAAACTGTCATTATCAGGGCCCTGAAAACGCGTGGCTTGGTCATTCTGCACAGGTACCGGCATCTCCAAATATTCTTGTCAAGAGAGTTCATGACCCCTGCTGCCAGGCCAATCCGTCAACTGACTTCCTGGTCTGACAGTTATGAACTACACAACAAGGTATGTAAAGCTCTCTGTGACTTCAATGTCCTCGCCACAAGCATGTACCGACCGAAAAGATTCTTCTAGCATGTTCCCAAAGTCCTGGATCTTGGTCTTGGTCCAAGAGACCTCTAGACCCAGGGGCTTCGCTTCATTGTTAAATGCATCCAGAGCCACCACTAGGATTTCCAAAGTCAATGTCAGTAATCTTGATATTGTCCAGAGTTGCCCCACAATAACTTTGAACAGTAGCTCTACCCAGTTTTCAGTTCATGCAAGTGTTGA